CCCCTTCAGACCCTGCACCTGGACGTTTGGGGCCCAGCCCCCGTCCCCACCGCGCGTGAGCGCTACTTTCTTGTGCTCGTCGACGACTACACGCGCTACACCACGGTGTTTCCCCTGGAGCGGAAGGCCGACGTGCCCGACGTTCTTCTCCCGTGTGGTTGTGCTGCGCGTCTTCACCGCGGTCTCCCTGTTGTGTCTCCACTCCGACCGTGGCGGCGAGTTCGCCTCTGGTCGGCTTGGACAGTTCTGTCGTGCGGAGGGCATCACCCAGTCGTACACCTTGCCGGACTCGCCACAGCAGAATGGGGTTGCTGAGCGCCGCATCGGCTTGGTCATGGAGGTGCTCGTACCTCCATGATCATGCCGATGCCCCCATTTTCTGTGGCCGTTCGCTGTTCGCTACGCTGCTCACCAGCTTAACCTGTGGCCACGCTCCCAGCGGCCGCAGGTTTCGCCGACCCTCCTTTGGACCGGGTCCCCGGTGACGCGTCTGCGTTCCACGTCTGGGGCTGCCTTGCTCACGTTCGTGCCTCTGGCACGGACAAGCTCACTGCCCGCACTGTCCCCTGTGTCTTCCTCGGTTTCCCCCTGGACTCGTCTGACTGGCTCTTCTACCACCCGCAGTCTCACCGCTTCCTCACTCTCGTGACGTCACCTTTGACGAGTCTGTCTCCTTCTACCGTCGCTTCCCTCACCGAGGTCTCCCGTTCCCCCCCCTGTTCCTTGCTCCCTCTCCCGGTAGCCCCTGCTCCCCTCCCGCCTCGTCCTGCCCCGTCTGGTGTCTCCCATGTCACTCCCCTCCCGTCGGTTGTCCCCGTTGAGGAGTCTGCTGACTCTGGTGGTCCCGGCCGTCTTGCCGCGTCCCCCTTCCCCGGTGCCCTCCGCTGTCGCAGTCGCAGTCGCGTCGCTCGCCGCTGTCGTCGCAGCCACCGCGTCGCAGCCCGCGCGCCCCGCCGCCGTCGCAGCCGCCGCCCCCCGCTGCCGCCGCTGCCCGCTCTTGGCCTCTGGGGGTGCTGGTGTGAGGAGGGTGTTCGTCCTCGCCCCGCGTGGTCGGCTCTGGGCCTGGGGGTGCCGCTGGTGCTGGAGGGGTTCTCGCTCTGGGGGTGTTGGTTCTGGGGGTGCTGCTGTTGAGTGTTCTCCCGGCGGTCGTCTGCCCTGCCGGTCGCGTCGAGACCAGCCGTCGCAGCAGGCCGCAGCACCGCAGCCGTCGCGCCGGTCTCCGCTCTTCGCCTGCTCGGCCTTCCCTCCCCGACCGCTCGCCGGTGTCTCCCCCCACCGCTCCTCTTCCTGTCTATCCTGTGTTCCCGCCGGACTCGTCTCCGGCCCGTCTTCCTCCTCGTTCCCCTTGTGTCCCTCCGCTGTCCCTGACCCTACACCTCCGTCCCACGTTTGGTCTCGCCGTCCCTCCGTGCTCGTCCCGTCTCTCCTGTCCTGCGCTCCCACCCTATGTTGCTCCGTTCCCACTCGTCTCGTCCTCCCCCCTCCTCCTCGCCCCTCCCTCGTCGCTTGTTTTGCACCTCCCCTGTCTGACTACCTCCGTGCCTCTCGTCCCTTGTCCCTCGGGTCCTTGCCTCTCTTGTTACAGACCCGTCTGTTCCTGTCTCGCGCCTTGACGCGCTTGTCGCTGCTGTCGCTGACTTCGCCTCTACCCGCCGCCTTGACTACGCTACCGCTCTGGTCTCTGACCCTGCCCGTCCTCCGTCCGTCGGGGGTGCACCTGCCCTTGGCAGTGACGTCCTAGAGGACAGGCAGTACGAGCTGCTTTCCTTTCCGAGGCCTCCCCATCTCTGCTCCATGCTCCTAGTCCCTGAGGGTGACCCAGACGCCTTCGACATCCCGACCCCTCGCACCTACGCTGAGGCCACCTCGGGACCTGGGCCTCTCAGTGGATAGCTGCCATGGAGCAGGAGATGGCATCTTGGAGGTCCACCGGCACTTACGTCGACGCAGTTCCCCCCCTGGGGTGAACGTAGTCGATGGTCGGTGGCTCTTCAAGGTGAAGCGCCCCCCTGGAGAGCCGCCTGTCTTCAAGGCGCGCTACGTGGCCAGAGGCTTCAGCCAGCGAGGGGTTGACTTCTTCCAGACCTTCGCCCCGACCCCGAAGATGACCACTCTTCGGGCGCTGCTACACGTAGCAGCACAGCGCGACTACGAGCTTCACTCCCTCGACTTCTCTACTGCCTTTCTTCAGGGCAGCCTACACGAGCAGGTCTACCTGCGCCGACCACAGGGCTTCACTGGTACCTTCCCCCTGGGACCCAGTGGCTTCTCAGGCGCCCGGTCTACGGCCTGCGCAGGCTCCCGCGAGTGGCACGACACGCTGCGTGCCACGTTAGCAGACCTGCAGTTCTTTCCGTCCTCTGCTGACCCTCGCTGTTTGTGCGTTCCGGCCAGACTCCGTTCTACATCCTTGTCTACGTAGACGACCTGGTCTTCGCTACTGCTGACAGGGACGCACTGGCCTCTGTGAAGGCCGAGCTGCTGAAGAGACACACCTGCACTGACCTTGGAGAGCTGCGTCGCTATCTTGGCCTGCAGATCTCTAGGGACAGAGCAGCACGCACCATCACTCTGACAAGTCACACTTGGTGCGTCAGGTCCTTCAGAGGTTCGGTCTTCAGTTCTCCTCCGCACAGCCCACACCTCTACCTGTAGACCATGGGCTCTCTGCTCCCGTTCCTGAGGAGCCAGTAGAGCCCAGTGGCCCCTACGCAGAGCTGGTGGGTTGCCTCATGTACCTGATGACTTGCACTCGCCCAGATCTCGCATACCCTCTCAGCATCCTGGCTCGCTTTGTGGCCACAGGCAGACACCGACCACAGCACTGGTCGGCCGCTAAGAGGGTTTTGCGATATCTAGCAAGTACATCGGCATGGGGTTAGTGCTAGGAGGACGCAGGCCAGTGGTCCTTACTGGGCACACAGACGCTTCTTGGGCAGACGACGCTGAGACTCTCAGGTCGTCGCAGGGCTACTGTTTTAGCCTTGGTTCGGGTGCTATCTCTTGGAGATCCACTTCGTCGTCTGTTGCTCAGTCCAGCTGTGAGGCTGAGATCTACGCTGGTGCCATGGCGGCACAGGAGCTCCGCTGGCTGACCTTCTTGCTCACAGACTTAGGTGAGCGGCCTAGCTCTGCCCCGGTCCTGTACGCTGACAACAGGGCCATGATTCTCCTGTGTCAGGAGCCTCGGCTTGAGGGCAGAGCGAAGCATATCCAGCTGCGGTACTTCCTCCTGCGCGAGCTACAGCAGCGTCGCCAGGCCCGCGTAGTTCACTTGGCCTCAGGTGCCAACACAGCTGATATCTTTACTAAGGCGCTTGCGCCTAAAGATCATCAGCGGCACTGTGTACAGCTTGGTCTTGTTCCTGTAGCTTCTCACTTGTTAGGACCCTGATTGTGTACTCCTCACTATATATACCTGTCTGACTAGCCTTGTGGCTTTACTCCAGTGGCTGGACTAGTAGTGCCGCCCTGGCTTGCTTTTGTCTTGTCTGTATTCTTGCTGACTGGTCTTTGGACCCCTTCAGTGGTTGGACTAGTAGTGCCGCCCTGAGCTGTGTGCTTCCTGCTTGTACCACCCCTTCTCTAGCCTAGAGGGTGTGTCAACTTATACATGTCATGAGTGTAGAAGTTATAGGCTAGTATCGGTGTGTGCTCATAGTGAGTACAACCCAACTGCTATATGTTCCCTGTTTCTCTTCTAGTTATCCATTCACGTATTCTAACACCCTGGTACTAAACGCTCTAAAGTAGAAATACGCCCTAACTCGTGACCACATAAATTATAACTGCAAAGTTACTGAGGTGCGTTATGTTCAAATTATATTTTTATATAATTATAGGCTTGGTAGTTGTACCTGTTTCTCTTCTAGTTGATCCACCTTTTCTCTCGACATTCTTCTCTCCTTCCTCCTAGCTAAACCCCGCCGCCATAGTCATGGCGTCCTAGCTATAATACCTTCACGACATGGTTTCAGAGCAGGCCGCCCGTCCCGGGCCTGCTCACTACTCGTCCGCTGCGTATTCTCTGGTACTTCGCCGCCTTCGCAACCTTCAGATTGCCTGCCGCCGTGGCACCTTCCATGCCGCGGCGGCCTCATGGTGGCGACGCCGTCGACGTCGGGCCGTCGCGGCGTGACAGCGCCGCCGTACTGACGTCGCGGCGTCGACGTCATGCCGCATCGACGTCACGTCGTGCAGCATCGACGCCGCTCGTTGACGGCGCCGTCGGGCTGCAGCCGACCGTGCGACGTCGGTGACGCTGCCGCCGCCCACACGCCAGCCAGCGCCCTCTCCTCTACACCACCCCTTCTCCTTGCATCCCCTCTCCCTCCTGCCGCAGCTGCTGTCTTCGGCTCGGTCATCGCCAGCCCATGCCACACCGCCGAGAGCCCTCAGCCGCCGCAGTCGCCGCCTGTCCTCATCACCGCAGCCGCCTTGAGCACGAGCTCCGCCGCTGTCGTCATTGAGGCCGCCCAGATGCGGCCAGCTGCCTCTCGTCCGGGGGTGTCATCGCCTAGCATGAGGGGTCGATACCCGGCTGCTCACGAGAATGAGGGGTCCGGGGTTAGGGGGTGTGTGTGTGGGTTGAGTGGGCTTGCCACTACCAAGCCTAGGGGGTGTGTTCAAATTATATTTTATATAATTATAGGCTTGGTAGTTGTGCTACTGCATCCTACTGTAGAGGGGATAACTCCCCTTCTTGTACCTGTTTCTCGTCTAGTTGATCCACCTTTTCTCTCGACATTCTTCTCTCCTTCCTCCTAGCTAAACCCCACCGCCATAGTCATGGCGTCCTAGCTATAATACCTTCACGACACGTTATTCCCTCCACTTCAGTGCTAACAAACAAAAATCTTGGTGCACCCTGTCTAGTGAAGCCCAAGGCACGTCGTCACATCAGATCTGCAACATGTCAGTTGTCCGATCACGCGAGATCGTGTAACTACAGGAAAGTGTAAGGCTTCGCTTGAGTTATACCCTTATGTGAAAAAGTACAAATATTTAGGACCCTTATATTACAAAGTAGCTTTAAAATATACCCTTACAGAAAAAGTGGCAGCAAGCGAGTACCCTTACAAGAAAGAGTACTTTTAATCCTATCCAGAGGCCTGATGTGTACCCGTTACTGACTAAAACCCGTGATAAGGAAATACCATTTCCTTTCAGCACTGAAGCACTCAACTTCTGTACAAAAGCAATGCAGCTTGCTCCAGCTGGCCCAATCGGTTGTCGCCGAGTGCAATGCAGAGTACAGGTGCTGTGCATTCAGTCATGCTGCTGCACAGCACGATGAGTGCATAGTGTATTGCAGCTCTAGTTGCGCCTGGTGAATTCTACTGTAAGTCGACTCAAAAGTCACCTATGCACCCAACGGCGCAGCACAGCATAGCACTTTCACTGCAGCTCCAGCTGCCGCTGCTCGTTGCCACTGCAGCCAATGCAGGTGCCGCCAACGAGCAGCGGGGCAATGCTGCCTTTGCTCGTTGTCAGTGCATCAGCCTTTCAGCGCATCAGCCTTTCAGCGCATCAGCCTTTCAGCGCATCAGCCTTTCAGCGCATCAGCCTTTCAGCGCATCAGCCTTTCAGCGCATCAGCCTTTCAGCGCATCAGCCTTTCAGCGCATCAGCCTTTCAGCGCATCAGCCTCTCAGCGCATCAGCCTCTCAGCGCATCAGCCTTTCAGCGCATCAGCCTTTCAGCGCATCAGCCTCTCAGCGCATCAGCCTTTCAGCGCATCAGCCTTTCAGCGCATCAGCCTTTCAGCGCATCAGCCTCTCAGCGCATCAGCCTCTCAGCGCATCAGCCTCTCAGCGCATCAGCCTCTCAGCGCATCAGCCTTTCAGCGCATCAGCCTTTCAGCGCATCAGCCTTTCAGCGCATCAGACTTTCAGCGCATCAGCCTTTCAGCGCAGGCCCGATGCAGCTCCAGCTGCCCCTGCTCGTTGTCTCCAAAGCCAATGCAGGTGCCGCCACGGCAGAAGGCAATGCTCCTGAGGCGCCACAAATGCAAGGAGCCCACGGTTGGTGCTTCAGTGCAGCTCCAGCTGCCCCTGCTCGTTGTCTCCAAAGCCAATGCAGGTGCCGTCACGGCACAAAGCGATGGTGTGATACGCCCCCGTGCTTATCTGCAGTGAAAATACAACACGCACGGGCGGGCGGATGGACGGATGGACGAACTGTATTTGAGTCGAGTCGAAAGCATGAAATGAGTGACAGACTCCTGTGCTTATCTGCAGTCGAAACACAACACACACGGGCGGATAGCTGGACAAACGGACAGTCATCATTAGCTGTTTGACTCGAAAGCAGGTGACTGAGTGGTAGACTCTCCTGTGCTTATCCGCTGGGAAGCACACAGAAGTCAACATATGACATACGGTATCCCCATGCCCCTGTCCATCACCTGCACCACCCATGGCCTCACCTGCACCACCCATGGCCTCACGTGCACCACCCATGGCCTCACGTGCACCACCCATGGCCTCACGTGCACCACCCATGGCCTCACGTGCACCACCCATGGCCTCACCTGCACCACCCATGGCCTCACCTGCACCACCCATGGCCTCACGTGCACCACCCATGGCCTCACCTGCACCACCCATGGCCTCACGTGCACCACCATGGCCTCACCTGCACCACTCTCCTCCCTCCATCGCTTGCACCGCCATGGGAGCAAACACCACGGCTACCCCCTGCTGTAGACCCCAACCCACGTGACTCTATAGCCGGACTCAAAAGCCTCCCCAAACCCACCCTTTTCTCCCCCTCTTGGCCTCCTTCCCACACCTTAGTTCCCCTCACCTGCACCACCCTTCTCCCCTCCAGCGCTTCTACTGCCATGGGAGCAAACACCTTGTCGCGCCCTGCTGCCACTCCGAGCCCAGGTGACTCTACAGTCAACTCTAAGTCCCCTTGTTCCTCCAACCCTGCCCATAGTTCCCCTCACCCGCACCACCCTCTTGCCCTCCAGGGCCTCCACCGCCATGGGAGCAAACACCTTGTCGCGCACGGCTGCCACACCCAGCCCAACAAGATCCATTTACCTGCTCAAAGCCCCTCCCATTCCACTCTTTTCTCCCCTCACCTGCACCACCCTCTTGCCCTCCAGAGCTTCGACCGCCATGGGAGCAAACACCTTGTCGCGCCCGGTTGCCACTCCGAGCCCTCCAAAGGCTGTCCACCCGAAGGCAAACACCCGGCCCTGGTCGTCCAACGCCAGAGTCTTGCGCTTTCCCAGAGTCACCTGAGATCGGGAGGGGATCAGCAGGAGAGGGGGGATTATCAAAAGTTGTCAAGCGGTAAAAAGACGATTTTTGAGGCACCTAAAAAAACCATCTATATAAGGCATGCTTCCACCCCCAGCCCCCCATTCCCCCTCCCCCCCCTTCCCCTCCCCCTCCCCCTCCCCCCTCCCACCCACCCCCCAAGGCCCCCCAGACCGCTAACCCTCCAACCCATTGACTGTGCATGTGCTCACATACCTGCACTATTCGAGTATGCAGGAGCCCCTCCCAACGCGTGGCAGCACCTCATTGGCCTCGCTGGCATTGCCCAAACACCCGCAGTAGCCTGAACCCCACATGAACACCTGCAACCGGGGAGCACAGGGAGAGTGCGGGTCACAGATGGCTGATTACACGCAGCAGGCGTTAGAGACAGAGGAAAACTGCACGCGAGAAGGGGGGGCTGGTTGGGGGGCTGGTTTGGAGCGCATGAGAGAGGAAAACTTGGGAGCCCGGTTTGGATTGCAAATAGCAAGGTCTTTCACTCACCCGCCCCAGGCAGTTGACAGCAGCGGAGTAGTCGAGAGAAGCAGCAAAGTCACAGAGCACATGGACACCTGATGAAAGGACCCACACCACTGGCTGCTGAGGGCTCAACATACCCTCACACCTTACCATCACTCTTCCACCCGTCCACTCACCCGCCCCAGGCAGTCGACAGCAGCAGAGTAGTCCACAGAAGCCGCCACCTTGAGCACATGCACGCCCGAGTCAAGAAACCACGCCACAGGCTGCGGCACCAGACAATCAGAGAGGTCAGCTGCTGCTGCTGCTGCTGCTGCTGCTGCTGCTGCTGCGGTTGTAGCACCGCCAGCACGCCTAGCCACACGCACGCTGGATGCACCCCCGGCTCTCCCCCTGCGCTCTCCCTATCCGCCCTCCTCCTCTCACCCCCTCCGTCCTCTCCTGTTCCCCCTCTGACCTCTTGCTCCTCCGCCCCACCCAACCCCCACCGCTGCGCACCCCCAGCTGCCCACTATGCCCGCGCGGCCAAAAGCCAGCACCACTCCGCCTGCCGTGACGGCGAGAGAGTGGCTGGCGCCAGCTGCTACACTCACTATGCGGTATTGAGCATACTCATCGCCACTGCCGCCCATGTCAGTCGCTCCTGCCGGCCCATACGGTCGCTGCTCCCACCCATGGTATCATCTCCCCTGCCGCCCATGGCTCCGTCCCAGCATGGCTCCGTCCAGCACGGCACCGTCCAGCACGGCAGCTAGCACTTCTGGCCGCAGACCCTCCACAACCGTTGGCCGGCATCTGTCGTCCGTATCCCCTATCCCCAGCCGGCCATTGCCGCCTGCTCCGAACGCATACACTGTGCCATCCGTAGCTAGAACCAAGGTTATGGCTCCTCCCTGTGGCCACCTGCTGACATGGCACGCCTCTTAAAGCCTCCACTAATTTCGGCTGGGAAAATTTCTTCCCCGCCCCTTCCTGCCGTGCCCGCAGCACCCGTTAGAGTCCTGCCCCATTGTGTAAACCTCCTCTGCTTCCGTTAGTATCACAGTGAACGCTCTTCCCCCGCTACTTGCACCACCCTGTCCTCCTCCCTACCCCCCCACCCACCCCATGCTCCTCATAATAACCCACCCCGGATGCCCCTGCCCGCCCCATGGTTCCCCCATCTCCCCCAGCACCCCCGACGCCCCTTCCCCCACCACTATATGCGCCTTGAGGCTTCCCCTCCGCCCTCTCCGCCCCCTCCCTGCTGCGCTTGCTGCATCGTGCGCCCATTCAGCCTCTCCGAGCCTACTGCCGAGCCTATCGCTGCGGCACTGCCCGAGCCTGCGGTGCTGGCTCCGAGACGCACAGCAGCCAGGCCGGCGGCCAGGGCGCTGCTGGCGGCAGCCGCCCAACCTTGAGCCGCCTGGGGCGGCTCGACAGTCGCGGGGGCGGGTTGATTCGGGGGAGGCTGATTCGGGGCGGGGGTTGGGACGACTGGTGCTGGGTGAGTTGGCGCGGTACGCGGGGGGGCGAATTGTGGGGTGCCGTCGCGCGTGCCTGATCCGTACACCCACAGCTCGCCGCTAGTCTTTATCTGGAACGAGCAGTAATCGCCCGCGTAAACAGCGGCTGTTAATCCCGGGCCGCGGCGACCTCCCTCCCTCCCCAGGCTGGCCTCATCTTCCCCTTCCGCCGCCGCCGCCCAATCCGCGGCGAGCAAGGCGGCTTCCGCCGCGTCACATCCGCGCTTCCCCTCCCCCCTCCGACCTCCACTTCCGAATCACTTCCCCGCCGCAACCCCCAGGCCTCCTCCACCGCCCACGCGAAACGCAGCACGCGCAGCCAGCTTCCGCCGCACCGCTGCGCCGCCATTGCGCGCAGCAGCTCCGCGGGGACCCGCGCGAGCAGCGGGTGGCGCAAGCATCTCGCGCGCGCGGATGTTTCGACGACGGAGTGGCGGCGGTTCGGGGGGAGCAGGAGCGGGCGGCGGAGGGCGTAGCAGACCGCCTCGAGCCGTGCGAGGTCTTCCGGGGAAAGCTCGCGGCTCGGGCCACCGGAAGATGGGCGAGCAAGCAGGTGCAGAAGCACGTCTTCTGATAGGTCGGCGAACGACGTCGGCAAAGCGTCGCAGAGTGGCTGATGGTAGAACGTCGTGGCCATACTAGTATAGCTGACGCTGTAGTAGTAAGAGTGCTCGTAACGGCTTGGAAACAAACGAAAGACGACGTTATTCGCGGCTCGAACTCCAAAGATCTATGGGGCTTGTAAGCTCGGCTTGCTTCCCGTATGAGCTAGTCGCGACGGGCCTTTCGATAAGCTATTTTCTATTGATCTGTGGTGGTTCTTCTGAGGCTCTCTTCAAGCTCTTACTCTGCCATTGCTTTAGGTGGTGGGGATGGTGATGTTGCAATTGTTGGCTTCGGCGTTGGTGTGGTATGGTGCGATCTAGTACGGTTTGGCGTGTTACGGAGCGTGAAATGCCTTGTTGGGTTTGGCTGCGGTTGGTGAGGTTAGGTGGTGTGACTGACAGGGCTACTGGCTTGCGGCGAATTTGCGGTTTGGCGCGAAACGCAGGCTGTTAGCGAAATTCGTGACAAGCGACAGAGCGCGGAAGCTGAAATGCGTCCGAGATGGCCTTCAGATTGCATGTGGACGGCTAAGATTCGACAACCCTAGTTATTTGCCAACGAGGGAATGTTACATGAGGTGCAGAGAGTGGCCAATCAACGAGGGGAAACAACGCCACCCGCCTGTGCAGACGAGCTTGTTTGACGTGGCCGGAAAGTCAATGAATGACGAGACTGTAACGGTAGCATTCGGTTCGGGTGCTGGTTTGCGGGGAGGCGGGCCAATGAGCTGTGAGGTCAGCAGACCAATCAGAGAGAGTCCACCCACCAAAAAGTTCCGTCTGTTGTAAAAACGAGTGTGACAATAGCAGACATAAGTTGAAACTATTCTTACGCGCACCAGCTACACTCAGAAAATGTTGTATTCTACAGTTCTGTGATTCTGCATTTTGCACCCGATCGTCCTTTGATGTGGTTTTGGCGGGGTGTATCCCAGTCTCTTGACGAGTTCTCTCAGACTTTTGTTGAACTGAACAGCGCAACCACAGTGAATCATGGCAGATAGTTGGGGGGGAAACCCGCGGCGGAGGTCGTGGAAGAGGGGGAAGAGGCGGAAGGGCAATAGTGGCGGAAGATTCGGAAGTGGCGGAAGAGGCGGCAGAGGGTTTAGCGGAGCAACCGGAGGTTCAGGGTATAAGGGAAGTTGGGGAGGTTCTGGTTCTGGGGCGGGTTCGGAAGGGGATCGGATGGAGCGGGCGGAAGAAGGGGGAGGGGAGAGGAAGAGTGGGAAGAGGCGGAGAGAGGGGGGAAGAGGCGGCGGTAGAGGGGACTGGGGAAGATATCAGGGGGAACCGGCGGAGAGGTTGGGCGCGGGAGCTTCAGCCCGGGCGATTCAAGGAAGCGGAAGTTTGAAGGCGCAAGCGGAAGTTCCGACGAGGGCGGAGGAGGAGGCGCACGCGGGCGAGGTTGGGGAAGAGGAGGCGGTCGCGGGGGGACGGCGGACGGGGTGGGACGGGGTGGACAGGGGCGAGGAGCGGGGAGGGGAGAGAGCGCTCCTAGCGGACCAATGGACAGGAAGCAGAGGAAGGTGCGTCGGAAACATAGGTGCATTCAGGGAAGGCGCGTCAGGGGAAGGTGCATTCAGGGAAGGCGTGTCAGAGGAAAGTGCTTCAGAAAAGGTTGCGGCTGAGAAATGCACGACTGAATATCGACTTTAGCTCACAGTGATTTCATGGTTGGGCCGATAAACCCCTGTGAATGTAAACCCTGGTTCGATAAACCCTGCGACTTAAACCCCGAGTCTGGCTCTCAAGCACCGCACCCCTTCCCTCCCGTATCCTCACTTACCCGCTATACCCTCCCATTCGTTCTCCATTCATCCCTCACACCTCCCTCACCTCCCCTCATATCATATCTCTCTCGCACTCCCCCTCTTCCCCCCTTCAGTCATTCTCTCTTCTCCCCCCTCTCCCCCTCCTTCCCCTTCCCCGTCCCCTCCGCGCAGGAGTTAGCGGAGGCGCGGAAAAAGCGCCGCCGCCCTCTCTTTGATTTGGAAAAGGTTGGTTTAGGGAGGGTTTGGCACTAATCTTTATCTGGAAAGGGTGCATGTAGGGAGGGTTTGGCACTAATCGTTATCTGGAAAGGGTGCATGTAGGGAGGGTTTGGCACTAATCTTTATCTGGAAAGGGTGCATGTAGGGAGGGTTTGGCACTAATCTTTATCTGGAAAGGGTGCATGTAGGGAGGGTTTGGCACTAATCTTTATCTGGAAAGGGTGCATGTAGGGAGGGTTTAGCGCACTGGGTTTAACCCAGTTGCCGTGATCGAGGGGATAACTGTTTGGGCGAAGTTCGGTTGGGGTGCAAGGGTTGGGGATGGGGCTAAGGAAGAGGCATGGGAGTGCGTTGTGGTGCCACTTTCGCTGTGTTGTGGTGCCACTTTCGCTGTGTTGTGTTGTGCCATAGCGAAACTCTTTCTCATGCCTCACGCCGTGGCAAGGCATGCCATTTTCTCTGTGTTGCATTGTGAACTTGCCCTCTCCTCCCCTCCCCTGTGTGCGTATGCCGCCTTGTATGCTTGCGATGCGCACGGTTGCTTGTGAACGTGTGGCTGTGCTGGTGTGCCTGTGCTGGTGTGTGATTGTACCAGGAGCTGACTCTGCTGTGGGAGAAGTCTCGCCAGAGGAACATAGACATGGAGAAAAAACACAAGTAAGCAAAGCAACAGATGACACACTGACAGATGACATACTGACTGATGACACACTGACAGATGACACACTGACTGATGACACACTGACTGATGACACACTGACTGATGACACACTGACTGATGACACACTGACAGATGACACACTGACTGATGACACACTGACTGATGACACACTGACTGATGACACACTGATGACACACTGACTGATGACACACTGACTGATGACACACTGACTGATGACACACTGACTGATGACACACTGACTGATGACACACTGACTGATGACACACTGACTGATGACACACTGACAGATGACACACTGACTGATGACACACTGACTGATGACACACTGACTGATGACACACTGACAGATGACACACTGACTGATGACACACTGACAGATGACACACTGACTGATGACACACTGACTGATGACACACTGACTGATGACACACTGACAGATGACACACTGACTGATGACACACTGACTGATGACACACTGACTGATGACACACTGACTGATGACACACTGACTGATGACACACTGACTGATGACACACTGACTGATGACACACTGACAGATGACACACTGACTGATGACACACTGACTGATGACACACTGACTGATGACACACTGACTGATGACACACTGACTGATGACACACTGACTGATGACTATGTGCAGTACTTCGTGTGTGCGGCTCTGTGCTGTGCTACCTGCCTTGTTCTGAAACAAAGGACTTGACTCATACATTGTCTCTTCTGCCTCTCTGCACCTTCCTTGCTTCTTAACCTCGTTACAGGCTCGTGATTCTTAGTGATAGCTGAGATGAAGGGCAAATGGAGGTGTCGTGGTCTCCCACGTGGTCTTGAGTCCTGCTTATTCTTGACCTCTCCTCCTTCTTATACCCTCCATCCCAACCCCATTCACCCCCCACCCATTCCTCGCCTCTCCTCTTCCCCGTTACAGGCTGGTAACGCCCATGATATCGAAGATGAAGGGCAAGATGCTGGAGATGGCGCGCGCACACGGTGTCTTGGATGCTGCATGCGTTTGTGAAGCACGGCAGGAAAAAACAGACCCACTTGAGTTCCCTCCTCTCTCTTATATCCCCGTTGCAGGCTGGTGACCTCAATGATTGCTAAGATGAAGGGCAAGATGTTGGAAATGGCGCGGTCGCACACGGTGTCACGGGTGCTGCAGATGTGTGTTAAGCACGGCAGGAAGGACGAGAGGGAGATGGTGTTCGCTGAGTTGAGGCCGCACTGCAGGGAGCTGGCCATTCACCGTATGCCCACCACTTAGTCAACCGGATGATGGACCATGGTGAGTGCCTTGGGTGCCGCAGAGAAGACGTGTGTAGAGCACTTCTGAGAGTCTGGGTGCTGCAGATGTGTGTTCACTGAGCTGAGGAAGCACTTCTGAGAGGTCAGGGTGCTGCAGATGTGTTTGGACCACGGTGAGTGAGTGGCACAATGCCCGTCACATCATGCTCGCTCGTGTGTATCCCTCACGTTACTTCAATGCCCCCCCCCCCCCTCCCCCTCTCCCCTGCCGGCTTCTTTCCCCCTTCTACTCGCCTCTCTCTCCTCGTCCCTTCCCACTCCCCTCTCTCCCCATTCCGCCGCTCTCCCTCTTTCTTCCCCTTCCCCCGACCCAACCTCCGCCCCCCCTTCCCACTTCCCCCTTCTCCTGCGTCCCATATCCTCCATTGTAACGAGGTGACTTTTGGGTCGACTCAAAGGTCACCTCGTTACAATGTCACACAACACTTCCCCCTTCTCCTGCGTTCCGTATCCTCCATGCGAGCAGGCAGCAAGGAGAAGAAGCATGACAGCGCAGGGCAGCTGCGGGGGCACGTGGTGGAGACTCGAGGCAATGCGACAGCCCTTCCTTCCTTTCCGTTTCCCTCTCCCTTCCATTTTTCCTTGCTCCCATTATGTGTGCGAGCAGGCAGCAAGGAGAAGCAGCATGACAGCGCAGGGGGCAGCTGCGGGGGCACGTGGTGAAGATGATGGGATGTGATGCAGGCTCTTTCCTTGCTTTCTTTCCCCCTCTTCCTTTCCCCTCTCCCTTCCCCCTCTGCCATTCTGCGTGCGAGCAGCCAGCAAGGAGAAGAAGCACGACATCATAGGGCAGCTGCGGGGGCACGTGGTGGAGATGATGCGGCACCCTGTGGCCAGTGCAGGTACGGTGCAGTGCTTTGATGATGGTTATATTGTGTTTGTGGGGTGCATGGCACGACATCATAGGGCAGCTGGGGGGCATGTGGTGGAGATGATGCGGCGTCACCCTGTGGCCTCGGCAGGTATATGTGACTGAGGGAGGGAGGTGGAAC